TTTTTAAAATGGTTACATGTTTGATCGCTTATGCTTTCTCTATGCTTGTGGCATGCTTTAAACTACTTTGCTTTCTGGACCACAAGTTTGTGAATTTGATTTTGTAATTACATTTTTCAGCGCCAAATCTGAGACCTGAGGAAGTTTTTTGCAGCACTCATTGCTCCATTAAAGCCTGGAGATGCAATTTTAGATAAGAGGAATTTTATAGCACCAATTCTTGCCTAAGGTGCAGGGAAAGAAATGATAAAGCATGCGGAACATAAATTCTCTTTTTCTTTCAGGCAGTGACAATTAAACTAAGCCACAAATAAAGTTATATCCAAAGTTTATTTTTAACTTAACAAGTTCCTGTAACATGTGGATGGTGTACATCAAATTGCAACAGCATATAAATGAGGCTGTGTGGAATTCACAACTTGAACTAGGGAGCAGAGTGGAAGGACATTCAAGTAATGGATCTTCCATAGCTAGGGGGCACATGGGACAGGGAGAGATTCTTCTCTGGCAGCACGACAGAAACAAAAATTATAAGTTAGCCGCTTATGCATCTATTAAAGTGTGGGAAGAACTGATTATTTTACTTTTGGACTTGCATATATAAGTACTATTTTCAGTACTATAAGTTACATTCTGCCACTCAATACATAATACTAGCTTCCTGAGGAGGGGCAAGCGAGGGATATGGTAGGAGATCAGAGATAAGCTGTATGATGGAGGGGATGGATTTATAGGCGAGGTTGAAGACCTTGAAATTGATCTGGTGGGACACTGGCGAGTTGGGCGTGCAGAGCGGATGCAGGCTTTCTGCTGCTTTATCAGATTAAGACCATCTTACCTGTTAGGGCTTTGATTTGCAGAATTAACAGGAGCTGAAGGGGACAAATCCCAATCTGCAGTCAGCAATACCCAAGAGTACTGCAGACCTGCCTGGCTTAGCAACTGGACAACCAAGACTGCCACAGTGATGTGATTCGACTACGATATTGCCTTGCCAAGTATATCACCTTGGAGCCAGTTCAGCTAAAGGTGTAGCTAATTATACGCAAGCACTGATTAAAAAACACAACAATACGTGAAGGGTACTTTTTTTTGATTATCATTCTTTTTTGGCATGTGGAGTACCTCGACAGAGTCCACATTAATTGTCCAATCATGGTTTCCCTGAGAAGATGGTTATGGTAGTCATTTTCTTTAAGAGTTTCTTAAGTCAAATAGCCATTGCAAGGGATACTAAGGGCAAGATTTAAGAAAATATTACATATATATGTTAAGAAAAGTGGTTGAAATATTGTAACCATGATTGTGGACCATTAGAGACAGACAAATACTGAATACATATAGAGGCAGAAATAGTTGACTAATCTAGGTTTATTAATACAAGGAAAAGTGGTCAATGGCCTTCTACACCTACTATCACCAACTACAATGGTAGGAGCAAACCTGAATAGATATAGGCCGATTGGGAGACTTAGCATTGGTTTGTCAAGTTCATCCTGTTTTGATAAACCTAATAGCATTCTTTAATTGAGAAACAGAGTTAGTGAAGGGCATGGGGGAAGGTCGGGGAAAGTAGTAATTTATGGAGGTCCAGAAGGTGTTTGATAAAGTTCCTCACAATAGATTGCTGGTTCATATTGAGGCATGTGGCATGAGGAGTAAGGATTGTGAATTGACTGACAGGCAGATGTCAAAGAATTTATGCGAAGGGGAGTTCATTGACCAGCAGCCAATGATAGTGGAACTTCGTAGGGATTAGTACTCTGCTTGCAGCTGTTTTCCATATATATCATTTAACTTGATTCGGGAACAGAGGGAAGTTTCCAAATTTGAAGATGACGAAGCTTGAAAGCATAGCAAAATCTGAAAAATGGTACAGAAATGTGCAAGCAGACATTGATAAATTAGAATGGGTGGAAGTATGGCAGATGCATTTCAATGTGGCCAAATGTGAGGTAATGCATTTTGGCTGTAAGACTAGTGTTTGGAAATATATATGAAGTGTCAGGAGGATGTTTATGAACAAAAGGATTTAGGTGTGCTGGTTAGTAAATCACTAAAAACTAGTTAACAGGTGTAAAGAGCTATTGACAGTGCTAATTAGATGTTGGTATTCATAGCAAGAGGCATAGAATGGAGAAAAGGAGGATGTACTATTTTGTACACGATACCTGGAAATGTTGAATTCAGTTTTGGTTCATTCAACACAGGAAAAGTACACTGTGGAAATTGCACTAACTGGAACCAGTTCCATTGTAGGTTTGTAAACAGTGTAGTCTATTAAGTTAATGGAAAACTATTCCACACTAACTAAAACTTCTTCCAGCAGAAGTTATGCTATCACTATTCTACCCTTCCCTCTCTCCCAGGTCCCCTCCACAATAAAATAATAATCTTTTCATTTGATATAGCACCTTATTATGTCATTGAGACATCTCAAAGTACTTCACAGGATATACTGTAAAGAGATTTGACTGTATTTTGTAGAAGAGATGTGGCAGCCAATTGCTGTCATATTTTAGTCTGTCACATTATAGTCTGACACATTACACTAGTCCATAGTGCCATATTGTTTTCTCTCTCCTCCTCTCCACAAGTACACGCAGGACCTGCTCTCTGTCTCGCCTTGTGTCGCTGTCTGACCCCCCTCTCACTTTCTTTGTACTGCTCAATAAGTCTTCTTGCCATAAGACGCACATTCGGAAGACAATTCTGCTGCTAGTATAAGTGACATGAATGTATTGCAATCCAATGCAAAACTTCACCAGTGGATTTCACCAACTTTCTTCCACAATGTTAGTCATGATGAATTGAACAAACATGCGATTACCCGGTGTGTGGATATGAGAAGCTTTTCTATATTACTGGAGGAGAGTGTGTAGCATAGATTCACAAAGATGGAGTGGGGGCTAAACTTTAGTGAAGTAAAGGTTGGGTAGAGTGGTTACATATTAATTGGAGTGGAGTTGGGGGGGAAAGGGGGGAATTTAGTTGAGTTGTTCAAGATTAAGAGAATTGACAAAATAAAGAGGAAGATATTTTCCCCAATGGCTAATTGCATACAACAACACCACCAACAACTTCACCCTCCACCCAGGGTAGCATCTTAGAGCGCTTATTCTGGAGAACTTGATCTCCTTGGAACCGAGGTCTCAACGAGTCCCTGTGATACACAGGGATTTCCTGCAGAAAGTACAGTTTAGGTTACAGACTCTATTTCTGGCCAACACTTTTTCTGCCCAAATGTCATGGTAAACTCTGTAGTTTAAAAAACACAATCAAACCATGTTTTCAAGGATTGAGATCAGAGAATGTAAAATAAAACTGAGCCCTTCTTAATTTTTTGAACTACATATTTCTGGAGAACAGTTCTTGACTGTAGTCTACAGATTATTATTATTTTTGTTAAATATACTTAAGCACCAGGCAAAAAACTCAAGAACTAAAATGTTACTATTAAATATTACTGTATTTTGCTTATTTTCACCCACAGCAATCAAAGAATGATGTGAACTATAACCACAAAACATGTTTTCTGACCACATGCACCATAATGTTAGTTCCCTTCTCCAAAGTATCAGCACATTGAGGTCAGAAATAGCAGCGATTCACCACAGGTTTCAGTAAGTATTACTATCAGGAAATCCTGCCCAGCATCTCATGGGCGTCTCACAGGAACCCAGATCACAAGTGTTAGGAGAAGATCAGACAGTTTCCACAGGTTGTTTCTGAGTCCCTCTGGTTAACCATAGCAATTAACTTCTGGTCACTCTTGAGTCACTATTGGTGAATGGCCTTGCTAACTATTGCTTTTTCAGCCCCATTCTTTCCCTAAAAGTGAGTTTATAAACATTGAGAGACTTCACCCCAGAGTTCTGTGCTCTACACCACCCCCCAACACACCACCCCCCAACACACTAACTACAAAGGGCATTGAAACAAGTTCACAATTAGGATTCAATGGCAGCTCTGCTCTGCAATTTAGACAGGGTTGAAATACTAAATGAAGTGTAATACCAGTAGAGATGAGGTTTTAGATAAATTAAGAATAAACTACTTACTTATTACAATTGATGATGCATTTAATTTGGGAAACAGAACAGGGACTAATAGGTAGGTCTGACATTAAGTGTTGGACTGCATTTCAACAGCCCAATGTTAGAATTGTGGCAACCGCTGACAATTTAACTCAACACACAGCTCTAGCCAGTTCTTGACCAGATTATGCGACTGCCCACGTCTTTGACAAAGAGGTGCTAAATCTCAATGATTAGGGACAAGTTAAATTGACTAGTTAATCTCATAAAGTGCAGCTGTTGTTGGCTGTTACAGTACAACATTGATGATGGTTCCACACTCCAGTCTTTCCTGTCCTCCCATCTGAGAACGCATGGTAAAGTTGCAGCTGAAAGTGAGGATATAATGAGCAAAAAAATGAGCCACCTAAGCACTGATTTTGGAGTTACTTCTCAAGTTAAATTGCAGCACAGAGAAAATCCTGAGCTGCCCTTGAACCTTAATTGTGGACTTGTTACAGAGCTCTCTGTACTATGTGCATTTGCAGAGAACAGAACTATCAGAACTGTGCTGCTGTGGAAACTAACTGGATTTGAATTTGCAATGACTAAAATGCAGTCAGGTAAAGTGACCCAGTCTGTAGAAACAAATGTAAATGCCTCACAGATTACTTCTGAAACTATTTTCAATTACATATGCTACTCTGTTGAATAACTGGAGTGTTGTACATTTAGAGAAAATCACTACAGTACTAACATTTTAATTTCAAAATTAAACGTACAGGTCCTAAACAAAAGAGTGCTAACAAACCACCACATACTACATTTTCTTATTATTCACAATGTTTTACTGTAAAGTAAACTTTCCAATGACTATTGCAGGAACTATTGACCACCATGAAACTCCTAAACTGCTAAATATACTTTGGCATGTTTACAAGATTGAATCGTTTTACAGGAATGGACAGAATTATAAATCCTTACCTGGAGTAAAGTTGATATACACAAATCTTGTACCAGTAACTAGATTTTCTACAAATGCTTCTCATTGCCAAGTGTAGCCGAATCAAGGTACAAGTCTGTAGAATAAGCCAGACTGGGAGAAATCTGAAAGACTGGAACCATCTGCCCAGATTTCCTTTCTTTCCCCCCTGATGAAGAGATGCAGATTTTGTGAGCAGGAAACCTTTGCCTCCAACAGGCTGACTTGCAAAATTGCTATTAACATGAGATCACCGCAAGACTGGGCTAGTATCGACAGACATCTCATGCTGTTTACATCTAGTTATAAAAAATTCCTGCACAACTCCTGAGCAAATAATCTCTTTATTCCCCGCACTGCACCTAGTTGATTTAAAACAAATGGAGCGCAGGGAAGCACATGCACTGCTTGGGAAGCTTTTATTTTACTCTGTCGGGATAATTTTAAATTAAATAATTGTAAATGGAGTATTTCACTAAATTCATTAAATATCACAAACGCAAAACAAGTGCAAGAAATATAAATTGCAGAAAATGTAACATTTAACTTTTAAACAACTGGCACAGAACCAAGCCACAAAATTGGCACAAATTGTTGCCCCCCCCCACACACCTACATCCTTTGCCAATATTATTGAGACAACAAGGCTTGCTAATGTGGAAAAGGCAAAAACAAAAGCAGACTAATGAAGGACAGGAAAGAAAAACTAGGGAAACTGGAACTGTTCTCATTGGAACAAAGAAGGTTGACAGGAAACATCGTAGGGGTGATAAGGTGGTCTCAATTATGAGATTTTTTGATAAGGTAAAAAGGAGAAATCTTTTCTATTAGTCAGTGAATTGGTAACCACAGAGCACAAGTTTAAGACTACCCAAAAAAACTAATGGTGAGGTTAGAAGTTGAAGCAGAATCCATAATAGTTTTGAAAGAAAATTTGACAATTATTTGATAAATATGAAACCCTATGTACTTGGGAGGTTTATGTTTAAATTTGGAAAACATATTTTGTCTTGCTTAGTTTGACAATTGTGTTGACTGACACTAGATATGCTTCAAGCTCCAGTCTGTCATTCATGGGATATGCACATGTATCTATAAAAAAAAGCTGTGACTACGATATTTCAACAGCAAATCCTCTTGAGGCCCTTCCACCTTTCTGGATGTAAGTGATTCATTTGGAATCTTGTATTTTTTTATAAAGGGAAGTGGAACAGACTGAAGTTGTAACCTGTTTTCCCTCTGCAATGGTAATTTCCCTGTTGAAGTATTGCAGATTGTGAAACATAAACTTTTGCAAGAACAAAGATTTCAGCTAAATTTGCCTAAACATGGGCCCTGCTTGATATGGAAGTCACACCAAACTGGCAGCGTCCATAACAGCATTTAAAAGAAAAATGAATGAATACTTTGAGGAAAAATAATATTTTTGGTAGGGATTAAGGAATTGGAGTAGATAACTTTAGTGAAGAAACAAGCACGAGCACAGACAACAAACCATATGCAATACAAATTTACATTTGTATAACACCTTTCATGTCAAGAGGACATCCCAAGGTACTTAATAGTCCTGGCTTGGCATCCAAGGTAGGGGTGGGAGCTGACAGGAGTGGGGAGGGGGGAAATGATCAAAGGCACGATCATAGAGATAGGTATTGAGACAGACGTTGAAAGATGGTATTTTTCTGTGCTATAAACTTTGCATGATTGTATGAAACCTGTAATGTCCTGGATAGAGTCTACCAGAATCTCTCTGACATGATAATAATATATAATAGGCAATATGATGCATAGATGTAAGAAATATTTTATGTTAACTACCACCAAAACTTCCTTGACTTACAACGGCTGTATCTTTAGGATGTAAAAAATCCATTCAATACACAACATGTGGCTTTTATGTACTTAATTATAATTGACGAGTGTAGGAATGCCAAAATATGAAACTCAACTATAAGCCAGGTTCTATGTCTCAGGAGAGAGTGATATTATTTGGGTCAATCATAACTGAAACATTGAGAAACAAATGCAATAATCCATCAAGTTAAAAACTTTCATTATGGTTGATGGACAGGATTATTGTGGTGGATGAGTAAATGACCTCATAGACAATGGAGAGATCTCAGCCATTGCCTTTGAAGAGGGAATTTTATGGCCTGATGTCGAAAAGAGGATATCGTAGACACAGCTTTTTTATACATACATGTGCATATCCCATACAGTCACAGACTGGAGTATGAAGCATTTCTACTGTCAGTCAATGACACGGTTGCCAAACTAAACAAGAGGAAAAAGCATTTTCCAAATTCAAACGTAAACCTCCCAAGTACATAGGATTTCCAGTATCATAGAAATTACAGCATAGAAGACAGCCAAAACCCAGGCTCTATGTCTCAGGTTCTATTTGGCCCATCATGTCCACACTGGCTTTGTGAAAGCTCTACACATTCAATCACTTTAACAATCTGCTGTTGGTTTGGACTTTGTCCAACACATTTAATTAATGGAGTTTGCAAAATTTCTCCCTAACCCATCATGTCCTTTGTGCCTTCTATATTCCAAACATTTCTTGTGACATAATCTTTTACACTTCCGATGAATTCACTATCTTCTCTTTTTTAAAAAAAAATCTCATTGCATTTTCATTGTTTTAAAATCGTTTTAAGCTTTAGATTCTCTGTTGTTCTCAAGACAAACGATGAATAGAAGTGTGTCTATTAGCTGAAGTGTTGGGTTGGTGGAGTTTCGATGTTGTCTTGCGGTGGCACCCAATAATCTCACGTTTCTCAGTCTTCGCAACCAACCAAAGACATTGCTTTTACAGGAGCTTTTTTTTAATGAATATTCCAATTACAAGAATAAAATATGTGGTTGCACGTTTTATGAGAAGTAAAGTCTGGTTCCATTTGAAAATAAAGGATGGATTCTTTGAAACAGAGAAGCAATGCCATTTCCCTGAAAATATCAATGGGTATTTCACAGACAATAACATGACACTTTGGTCCCATCCTTTAAAGCTGGATCACAACCAAGCTTTTGAGTCAAATGTCCATTCAAGGCTGTATTATATACAGGAAAATTGAATTGGCTGCAGTTTTAAACAATTCCCTCTACACCTTCTTAGCACATAATATGGATCTTACTAGACATCTATTAGACACAAACTACTAACTACTATTACCATGAGACAGCACTACAGTGAATATCTACACACACCACTAAACAGAATTTTTAGCTCTTAGAGTTCAGTAACTCCGTCTAGCCATTTTCCAGTGGTGGCAAATGCACGTGTGATTAACAAAATACATTATATATTACATAAAAAAATATACATTGCGTTGGTACTACGACTTGCTTACCCCCCAACCCAGGTGCGACCTGAAGAGGGGGAAGGAAGGGGCAAGGCGGAGGGATAGAGGAAGAGTGTTCCAGAGTTCTGGGGAGTAGTGGCTGAAAGCGAAGCCACCAATGGTGGAACGGAGGGCACGAGGGACATGCAGAAGGCTGGATCCAGTTGGGCAAGTGGTAGTGAGTTGGGGGGAAGCAGGTTGAGAGGTAGTGAGGTGCCCGGGCATGAAAGGATTTGAAAATGAGTGTGAGGATCCTGAAATCGACCCATTCTGCAATAGGGAGCTAGTGGAGCCTGGCCAGACCTGTTGTGATAGCGCCTTGGGATGTCCTCCCGATGAGAAAGGCGCTCTACAAATGTAATCTTATTGTTGTTTTGTTGATAGGGGTACGGAGTTTAGTGCAAGTGAGTATGTGGGTGACAGAGTTTGGGATTAGCTAGACCTTGTGCATGGTGAGCTGGGGAAACCTGCGAAAAGAGCATTTGAAAAGTCAAGTCAGGAAGTAGAAGCGAGAGGCGATATTTGCGGAGGTCCTCAAACCACAGCTGGCGGTGAATTGTGAGGCCAGATTTGTGTCATCAGCTCTTGAGCATCCGGGTTTTTGTTTTAAGGGAGAGTAAGGTGACTGTTATACCAGGGGGAGCGGGTAGATTTGGAGACAGATCTGGATTTCAAGGGGGCAAAGGAGTTGAGGGTTGCAGAGAGGCGATCGTTTAGCAGCTTGATAACTGCATCAGGTTCACTACGGGTGGAAGTCCAGTGGGAGAAGAGATTTGAGGAAGAGTTTATGAGGGAATTTATGAGAGTTTATGAGGCACTAGGGTGGAAGCTTTTTCCAAGGTCGGAAAAAGATGGTGGAGGAATTGGAAGAGGGGAGGGGGATGCGGGAGGAGAGAGAAATGAGGAAATGGTCTGAGATGGCCTTGTCTGTGATGGACAGACCGTGAGTGATAACAGGGTTGAGAGGGTGGCCACGGTTGAGGGTCAGCGAGTTTATGTGGAGGGTAATGTTTAGTGTGGATAGGAAGGCAGCAAAGCCAGAGGAGATGGGGCAAGGGGAGTTTAGGTGGAGGTTGAAATCACCCATTTTGATCAGGTGTTCAGTGCAGAGGCAGAGGGATGAGAGGAGGGAGGAGATGTCAAGGATGAAGGAACCAAGCGATTTGGGAGGATGATAAATAAGGAGAATTTTGAAGAAGAGAGAGGGTTGGTGCAGGGTTAAGTGTTTAAAAAGGGGGAAGGAGCCAGAGAGTAAGGGATAGAAATTGACTTCCTAAATCTTTATTCACGGATGGAATTTCAATTGGCAGCAATGCAAATGCTTTGAGCCAGATTATACTAATTGCTACGAAGAAAAATATTGTCTTCTGTATTATTTTACATAAAGCACATCTGGCTGATGGCACAGACTAAGTCCATTGTATTGGTAGACACTAACGAATGATTAAGATGTTATGATGAAATATCACGAGGGTATGGGGTCCTCCCAACGGGCTCCTGTTAACAATAACAACAACAAATTACATTTATATAGATAATGCTTTCACATTGGGAGGATGTCAAGGGTTTGCTCCCAAGCTGGGGGCTGGATTCAGGAGGGGTGGGGGCCAAGGAGGACTGGAGTATAGGGGGAAGGATGACTAAAGGCCCAGTCAAAAAAGGTCTTCAGACTGACCTTAAAGGAAGCAAGGAACTCCAGAATGGCTGAAAGCCCAACCGCCAATGGTAGGGCAGGCAGGCTAGAGGATGTGAAGCAGGCCAATGCTGGTGGAGTGGAGGGAGTGGGTAGGTTGGTACGGTTTAAGAAAGTCACAGAGATAGGGTTGGCCAA